AGGGATTGGCTTACTCTCTGAATGCCTGAATAAAGTGTAGGGGATGATGGGATTGATGTCTGGGGGTATCTGGGGAAGTCGTGGTCAGTAGGACGTGTTGCTTTATGTTTCATAGCACTACGCTGTTGCTGCATTTATGTTGTTGCTGCCTCTGCTATTCCTCTGACGGTGATCTCTGCTTCCCACTCTGTTGGCGGTGTCTGCTGCTGCCTGCCATGTGTGTGTGTGTGTGCTTTAATCTGCTACGGTGAACACAGCAGGCGGCGGGTTTCCAACGCCGCGCCGTTCCTGTTGGGGTTTTTTGCATTATTTGGTGTCTGCACTGGGCCTTTGCGCCCTTCTCGCCAGTTGCTCTTCTTGTGTGGGGAGTGGGAAGTGGCGCGGCGCCGTGTGCACCGTCTGGTGCATCGTGGCAGCACACGGCTGACGTCTTTGCTGGGCGACTAGACCTCACATTCACGCATTCGTTTTCTCCTTGGCTGTGGGGCTCTGCCAGCACTTTTGGGGGCTTCTTTTGTTGGCTGTTCGCGCATTGCACCCTTACTTCTTGCGTTTGCGTGAGGCGCCCCAACGCCCCACCTTAGTTGCTGCTGTGCCCGCTGCGTGTGCGGTTCTATCTGCCCCTCACGTCTCTCGTGCGGGGAGAAGCTCCAGGTCTGAGGCTGACAGCGACGACGATGCGGGTGCGGCAGGTGTTTCTTGCGTTGGTCCTCGTGCTGTGCTGGGCGTGCGGCAGCGGGCGTGAAGCCAGCAGCAAGATTTGCCTCCGGGTGCACAACTACAACTGGCTGCGGCGACTGAAGCAGATGCTGAGGGCAATGCCGATGGTGGCGACGGAAGTGAACGGCGGGTCCACTGTAAAGACTGAAGAAAATCACAATAAGGGAGGGGCTAACGCCGACAATCGACGTGGCGAGAACGGCGGTAAGGTCCGTGACTGCACTCCAACCCTGAGCAAAAGTGAACGAGCTTCCGGCCGTAAAGGTGACCAGGAAGCACACAAAAGTTCAAGCCAACGGCCTGACCGCGCGAAAGCACCACCTGTGGTGGGCAGTGGTGGGAACCCGGATGTGAGTGCCAACCGTCATACCGCAGGGCAATTGGGTGGTGAATGCGATCTACCTGAAAAGAAGGCGGAGCCCCTTCCCGCCGAGTCCGCCGCTCGCAACACTGAGAGCACCGCTCCGAAGACTTCTGCTGCCAACGTGCCACCGAAAAAGGATGCGGCTGCGGGCGCAATGATTGCGGCTGTCAGTGCGGCACCGCTGCTTCTGGGAGCAATCGCCCACATTCTCATCTGGTGAGAACTGTGGGTGCAGCGCCACGAATACTACACGCTGCAATTCCTATCTGATTTCTATCCAGCACGATACAAACCGATGCTTTGCTTTATTTTTCTTTGACTGCCCCTGCGTTGCCGGGTACGGGCTGATGCGCCGACCCTCGGCGGTGTCTTCTGTGCCGCATACCGCCCGATAGAAGGCTGTGCCTTTCTTCGTATAATCGTGTCATTTGCTTTGCACACGAAGGTGCTTCCGTTCACGCATCACATTCTTTGGGCTCAGGTGCGGTGGTGTACACTCTGGTCTTCTTTCTCTGTTGGTGGATGTGCTGTTCGGAGCGCCCTCTGTGGTATTTGTGTGCCGCTGTCCCCCGCTGCGCGTGTGTCTGCGTCCCTGCTGGTCAATGACCCATTCGCTGCTCGGTAAGTCCTTTCCTGTTTTGTTTGCTGCCCCGTTGTGGGCGTAACGCCGACCCACTTGTCCTCGACGACGCGCACTGTGCACTGCACTTTGGGAAGGGTAGGCGTGTTTTCTTTTCTTTTCTTGCTTGGGCTTTGCTTTGCGCGCTGCTGTGCGCCGCCCACTAACTGTCTCTCCTGCTGGGAGATTCGCTGTTCATCTCTCTCTCTGTGTGTGTGGTGCGTCCTTCGCCCCGCCCGCCGTGTCTGCGCCGCGCACCGGGACACACACACACACACCGGGACATGAGGGCCAGCAGTACGACTGCGTCCACGTGCGCTGCTGCTGCCTCGTTGTTCCCTCTTTGTTTTGAGCTTTGTGTGCTTGGACTCCAGCGGAGTGTGTGTGTCTCTTCCGCCGTCCACTTCTCTTTTCTCTAATGGGTTTCTTTTTATCATGG